AACAAACTAATGGTTGAGTGTGTGATAACTGAATAGAAAATGGCTCCATCTGTTCATTTCAGTTGGTAGTTATTTTCACCAGCAACTTGGGCCATTGTTACTGTGTTCCTAATGTCAAGATCTACTTGTATCTTGATTATATTTTCTGCTAGTTGCTCTTAACACTGTAATGTTAAAGTGATTATTGGTGGAATAACGTTGTGATGTTCAAACAGGTGGCGATATTTCCTTCTACGGTGAAAGGTATTGAAAACTATTTCTGGTTTGGATAGGCATCTGTGCATAATTAAACTCTAGATCTCTCTTCCAGTGCTTTGATGACTTGGTAAAATGAATTTTGCACCTTCAAATTAGCCTACATGGATACTTTTTGCCTAATTGAGGAAAGATTTTTATACCAGTATATCTATTTTCATAAAGGCCCAAGAACTCCAGGTTTGTGTGCCTAGGATAAATAGAGAACTATTAGGTCTGCTCCGAGAACAGCCCCTCTCCCCTTCCTCTTCATCTGCCTGCAACCAGTAATCATCTGACTTGTCAATCACTTGACTGTGAGTTGGCAAAGGACCTGAGGTCCCTTCCACATCTGCTGTCTGGTTACTAGAAGAGGGAAATTTCCTCTCATTGGGCTAGTTCTCTGACAGCTGATGCTTCCCTTGCAATCTGTCTTCTTGAGCTGGAAGGAACATCCTTGAGGTGTGCAGCACCTCCATCTTACTTCTTTTAATGATTGGTATTTGTCCGTGAGTTGTAGGAGCTTTTGGGAGCTCTGCAGGACAGGGGGCCGGCCCATTGGAAGACATTCAGAGACTGAGGAAAGGGTGATGAAATGACATTGAAAGTCCTTGAAGAATGCACTGGGATTAAAAAGGCTTTGAAAAGCCAATCACTAATTCAATCTGATTAATTGTCTTAAAGTAGCTTGTAGAGTGTTTTCTGAGCAACAGTGAAGGTCACTCGGAATGAAGTAAACAAACCACAGCTAATGTGCTGACATTTTAAAGAGAAAAGACAGTTGCTAAAAATGCCTACCCTATTTCCACTACTTACTACAAGTCATTAGAAGCATGGAATGTGTTCATCGATCTAAAGCGGCTCAGACACTGTTTTCTTTATTCTAGTTAGATAGAGAATTGAGACCTTGCCATAAAAAAACCTTAAGGTAGGAAGCAATTGTTTCTCGACTCTACAACTGCTTACCCAAAAGGAATAACTAAGTTTCTCTAACCATAAGTCATCTGAATGAGTTCTAGGATCTTGCAACACAAAGAGCATAATCTGGAAAGTCATTAAAAATGGAGAATTTGAGTTGGGTGTGGGGCCTCAGGCCTATAATCCCAGCATTCTGAGTCTGAGACAGAAGGATCTGGAGTTTCTGGTCAGACTAAGACACAGAGCAAGTCCCTGTCTCAATACCCCCCGTTAAAAAAAAAAAAAAACAGAACGTGCATTTAATAGAATATTCTAGGGATGCCTACACACATGTGTTTTTAGAAGCATTAATCTGGGCTAATGTGAACTGTAATTTAAACACTCAACAGAAAAGGGAGCCAGTTAAGAAAAGGAGAAAATGTTGCCTGAGAAAAGAATCTTATTGCTGTGCATAAACTCACTTCTATCCCCTAATCTAGCCTCAAAGTAAAAAAAAAAAAAGGTCCTCCTAGCTGTGTGGCCCAACGTTTGAGGATAAAAGCACATCTGAGTTTAAGTAATATCCAAAAGGTCAATAAGAGGCAGACTTCAAAGGACACCATTAATCAAATTATTACACAAAAATGCTTTTAAAGTATTTTTATGGCTAAGGTTACCAGCCACACACACATCTTGCCACAGTGGTTAAAATGCTAATAACTAAGATGCATTTGGTCTCGTAGGTACGTAGTTTGGGGGAAAAAAAATCAGCTAGAGCAAAGACAGAACTTCAGCCAGCCAAGGCGGAGATGCCATCAGGGAAGACTGATGCAAAACATCTGGGCCAGGTTTGGCAGCCACTGCAAAAACTGGGGAGGAAGGAAGGCTATGTAAAAATGTCCGCACACACAACATAATCTCAGGAAGTTTCCTATGTGTTGTCTTTGTAATTGATCCTAAATGCACACCTATTATATCTCTCTGGGGATAGTTTGATTTTAAATATTCAGTAAAAGGAAAAGTTGCTTTCTCCATTTTTCCTTCTGCATTCTCTAATTGCTTATCCTGAGGCTTTTAATCTGGAATTTGTAGAAGAGAATCATATCACAGAATGAAGTTGTACAGGCACTGGCTGAAGCTGCAGAAATAAAGGACTAAAAATAGACACATATCTCTAACTCATCAAATGACCATATCAGTTTACTAGCTAAAAAATACCGACAGCAGAACAGTGTTAGCTCTACAAACTCAGGCTAAATCGTGATTTCATAAATTCATTAGCAAGCAAAGCATATGCCTTTCTTCTGTAACATGAAAGAAAAAAATACATGTGTATTTTAAAACAAGAAAGCTGTCTTTATATATTTTTCTCCCTTCCAGAAAACAAAAATCCTGGAAAACTCTGATCCTTTTTCTTGACTTACCACTAATCATCTTGGAACACAATTGGAGAGAAACTTCTCTGAAGAGGAAATAAGAATGGCCAATAGACATATGAAGAAATGCTCAACCTTTCTAGCCATAAAAGAAATGCAAATCAAAACAACATTGAGATTCCACCTCACCCCAGTTAGAATGGCTATTATAGTCAAGAACTCTAATAACAACAGACGCTGGTAGGGATGTGGACAGAAGGGAACCCTACTGCATTTTTGGTGGGAGTGTAAACTTGTTCAACTACTTTGAAAAGCAGTATGGAGGTTCCTCAAAGACTAAACATAGAGCTCCCCTATGACCCAGCAATCCCACTTTTGGGCATTTACCCAAATGATCACAAACAAGACCACACTAAAGCTACCAGCACAACTATGTTTATTGCCGCATTATTCACCATAGCTAAGATATGGAACCAACCCAGATGCCCCTCAGTAGATGAATGGATCAAGAAAATGTATATATGCCTCCAACAGAAAGAATGACATCGCCCCATTTGTTGGGAAATGGAAAGACTTGGAAAAAATTATACTAAGTGAAGTAAGCCAGGCCCAAAGAAACATAGGTCCTATAGTTTCCCTTATTTGCAATAACTAGTATATGTCTGGGACAAGCAGAAAAGGTCAAAAGCTATGTACATATGACCTGATAAGATGATGTTAAGTGAAATGAACCCCAAGATAGGGACACAAATGGTTTTTTTTCTTGCTTGCTATTGTTCCTAACGTATTTATAATGTACCATGTGATTTTTTTGTTTCTTTGTATGTTCCTCCCCCATGGTATAACCCCTGTTTTCACTGTATTTGATGTCTGTGCCCTGCATCTTGTATATATACTTCTCTAGCTTGGGGATGGGAAGGGAAAAACAAAATGTTTAAATAGGGATACAGGTTGACCCATTGTAACAATGAGATGTACAAGACACTATGTTAAAAAATGAACTTTACAATTTCGGGAGGGGTGGGGGGAAAGGGGAGGGGAGAGTGTAGTTATAGAGATGGGAGGGAAGGGAAGGTAGGGGAAAAACAAAGGAGGAGGCAGCAATGCTTGATAGGAAATGTACTCATTACCTTGCTCATGTAACTGAAACCCCTCTGTACAGTATGTTTACAATAAAAAATGTATTTTTTTTTAAAAAAAGACTGCAAATAAAGTGGACCAGCAGAGTCCATTGCTTCTTTATCTCCTCAGGTTCCACCTGGTGTCTTATTTTGCTGGGTTGGTGAAAATGGAGTTGAGAAAAACAAACCAGATTTCATTCTAGTCAAAGGATAATCGTGTGCTTCAAAACATATAAAGAGTGCTATAGGACAATCTGTCTGAATCTAACTGTTCTCTGAGATGCTAAGGTGGTTGTTATTGGTGTCTATTTATGCTCAGCAGTGCCTTTTGCATTTAGCCAACAGGGGATAGTGTTATTACGTGTGAAAAACTATGAGAGAAGGGTCAATCAATCATTTATGAGCACGTTCACAGCACAGAGCACATTTACCTGAATATTTTCAGGCTGCTATTTGCAGTCACTTAAATCACAAGATGAAGCAGGTAGCTCCCATCATGGCCCCTGATAGTCCCTTCCTCCTAATATTGGATTGGGTAATACTTTCCTCTGGAGACATGGCTGGATTTAGGAGTAACTTGCTGCTAATGTATAGAATAAGGCACAAACGATAGTTTGTGTCTTGAAACTTCATCATAAAAGGTTGTGTGGAACCTTTGTCTGTCTGGCTCTCACACACATCATCACCATCACCATCGTTGTCAGCAGCAGCAGCAGCAGCATCTACTCTTGGTCCAGCCATCTCCATTTATGAGCAGCCCTAGAGAGATGCTTCATGACAAATAACTGACGCCTCCAAACAACATTTGAGTGGGCTTGGGAGGGGATGGTATAGGCTCATCAAGTCCCAGAGAGCTGTAGTCCCAGCTGATAGCTTGACTACAGTCTTGGAAGATGCTCTGAGGTAGAACCATCCAGCCAAGCTGTTCTCGAATTCTCTTTCTTTCTTTTCTTTTTCCTTTTTCCCTTTCTTTCTTTTCTCTTTCTTTCTTTCTTTCTTTCTTTCTTTCTTTCTTTCTTTCTTTCTTTCTTTCTTTCTTTCTTTCTTTCTTTCTTTCTTTCTTTCTTTCTTTCTTTCTTCCTTTCCCTCCCTCCCTCCCTCCCTTCCTCCATCCCTCCCTTCCTTCCTTCCTTCCTTTTCTTTCTTTTTTTGTCAGTTGTGGGGCCTGAACTCTGGGCCTGGGCACTGTCCCTCAGCTCTTCAGCTCAAGGTTAGCCACTTAAGCCACAGCACCACTTCCAGCTTTTTCTGCTTATGTGGTGCTGAGGAATCGAACCCAGGGCCTCATGCATGCGAGGCAGGCACTCTACTGAGCCACCTTCCCAGCCCCCTGTTCTTGAATTTTCTACACAGAAACTGTGAGATGTCTGTTGTATTCATTTCAGCAGCACATATACTCAAACAATATAGAACAATGTAGAGATGATTTGCATGGCTCCTGCATAAGTATGACATGCAAATTTGTGTATTTTTATATCAACATGAGAAAAATGTCCATTGCTTGGGGATGCTAAATTTGGGGGTTAATTTGGTGCATGAGAATGGATAACTAAACACACAGGGGTATATACCTCTTTCAGATTTATTCCCTCATTTATTCAGCAGTTATTTATTGAGAAACTACCATATGCCAAGCACTGCCAAAGCAGAGGTTAATCATCTACTGGACATAAAAAGATATCAAGGTACTCTTGGTTTCTAGGCCCCAAATACACAGCACAGAGAGAAGGATTTTTATACTTGGAGATTTGTGTTTATTGTAGTCATCTTTGGAAACACAATCAACCACTTATAGTTAGTATTATAAAATTTTTGTTTATATGTTAGTGGCTTAATAAATATCTGTAGACAATATTTCCCTAAAACATGTGCCCAGTTATATACTTTGAAAATGTAGATGGTCCCCTATAAGCCTCTCTCCTCTACTCTGTATTGCCATTTAGTCACTAGATTTTTTTTCCCATTTCTTTCCTCCTTCTAGTATCTCCTTTCTAGTATTTTAGTGCAGACGATTTCATTATATGTGTTTGTCATTTTCTTCCCTTGTTCTTTTTCTTTTTGGTCAGTTGTGGGGCTTGAACTCTGGGCCTGGGCACTGTCCTTCAGCTCTTCAGTTCAAGGCAAGTGCTCTACAACTTGAGCCACAGTGCCACTTTTGGTTTTCTGGTGGTTAATAGGAGATGAGTCTCATGAACTTTCCTACCCGGGCTGGCTTTGAACTGCAATCCTCAGATCTCAGCCTCCTGAGTAGCTAGGATTATAGGCGTGAGCCATTGGTGCCTGGCATTTTCTTCTTTTCTTGAAACTCCTGCCTCTAGTCTCATTGCCTTCCCTCTCCCAGCCTCCCTCTACACTATCAACAAAGTGAGATTTTAAGTATGCAAACTCCATCCTGTTTCCATGTTTACTCATGGGTTCTTAAAGAATTTGTATAAATCTGTGATGGATCCCTGCCTAAATATCTGCCTTCATTCCCACCTCCATTTTCTTTGGTGCCTTTCATACTCTAGGAATATCCAATGATGTATAATTTCCAGCTTATAACTCATCAAGCTTCTGTTGTTTAATATATGCTGTTCCTATTGCCTGGTAGATCGGTTTGTCCACTGTTTGTGAGGAACTCTTTTTATTTTATTTTATTTTATTGTGAGAATACCATACAGAAGGGTTACAATTACATGGGTAAGATAATGAGTACATTTCTTATCAAGCATTGTAGCCTCCTCTTTGTTTCCCCTTCCCATCCCTTCCCATACTACCCCCACCTCCCCCCACCCGATCCTCCCCCCCACCACCAAAGTTGTAAAGTTCATTTTTCGACATAATGACTTGTATATCTCATTGTTGCAATGGGTCCATCTGTATCCCTAGTTAAACGAAGGAACTCTTATAGCCTACTACTGATTTTCCTTTCCATGTGAAGGGACATGTATCAGTGTAGCACTCTTACCCTCTCTACTCCTGTGGTCAAAGAAGAATAACTTCTTTGATTGATGAGTTTCTGACCCAAGTCAATGTGGCCATCCTCAGTGATCAAACAATTTTAGTTCATTTTAGTAAGCTTTAGCAAGGAAAACTTGGGCAAAGTATACATCACCATACCAAAACTTAGCTACAAAGTGGTCTGGTATAATAAAAGTCAGTCTTAGATCACATCATACCAAATATGTGTGTGTGTATGTGTGTGTATGTGCGTGTGCATGTGTATGTGCATGAGCGAGTAGGATTAAACACAGCTATGCAATATGTTATTGTAAACTTGTGGGAGTTCCATTCTCTGTCCTAGTACATTTCAATAAGCTCTTTGCAAGAAAAGTTTACTCCAGCATTGATGCACTAAAACTAACAGGACCAGTCAATTCTACTCTACAGTCAAATCATTGAAAGAGTCTTCTATGACATGATCAAAAAGAACTTAGATCGAGGGCATTACTCCAAAGATATTAGACTGCTCGGCTTGCCAGATCCTTGTATTTCATTTTTTGCAGAGGTGATTGGGTCAGTAAAGTCTTTCTAATCTGCATACTTAGACCTCTAAATTATAGATTTGGCCAATTTTAGATTTAATAACTTTGTACTGTACTGACCTTTTCCATTGCCATCATTATCATAGAATATAATATTTATTTCTGCATCACTTACATTATATAGATATTATAACTAATATGATATAAAGGTAGATGCATGTGAGGATATACCTATGTTCTATGCAAACACTAACATTTTACCTAAGGCATTGAATATATACAGATTTTGGTATCTGTGGAAGGTCTGGGAACCAATCTGCAGATCTCTCTGTCTGTCTCCCTCCCTCTTTCCCCCTCTCTCTAACACTAGTCATTTTTCCAATAAATAATTACTTCTTTGAACATACTTATGAACAATTTTCTTGGTTATAGATTTAGATACCAGTATTTAAAGTGCTGAAATTAAATATTTCTGGAATGGGACTACTGAGTATTTCAAACACTGACTGACCATCACAAGAAGTTAAAATTCACTGATATACACATACACATTTATACCATGCCATTCACGCCTTACAGACAACATGAACACACATATTCCTCTCTATCATGTTTGCATGCAAGCTGTCTTCAGGGAGTCGCTATTTTCTCCCACTCCTCCAGAGGCAGGCACTGTTCCTGAATGGGGAAAGCCTTCCCTGGTCTAAGCATGGTGAGTAGATGCGTCAGTTTAATTTTGAGAAGCCTTTGTTGGTAGGCATATGTCATGGTATCCAATATCAACTGTATCATGATAGAGATAATATTTTGGTCTCCAATTGCCAACTTCCTGGTCTTAGTTCATGAGTGAATCAGCTCTCAGGTAGGAAAAGCTGTCTACTGGGCTCATTAAAGCAATGAAACAAACTGGCCAGCTCCTTTCCTCTCTGAGAAACCTGCTCTGATCCTTCCTGCTAGATCTGAGGATTAGAATTCTTTCATATTCACCATCTCCTACCCCAGCCCACTTGAGTATGGAGTCTGAACTTTGCATTTCTATCTATCTAGCATACAGCATACATACTGGTTGTCTTATTCTTTTCAGGCTACTATTGCAAAGTATCATAGACTGGGCAATTTATAAATGAGAAAAACTTATCTTTCAGTTCCAAACGCTGGCAAATCAAAGATCAAGGTGTCTACTGAGGGCAACTCCTTGGTTTATATATGTCAACTTCTTTCTCTGTGCCATAGTATGGGGAAAAGGTGAAATCTCTCTGGGGTCTCTTTTATAAGGTCATAATCGTGATCATAAGGAATTGTGTTCAGTAGTCATGACCTAATTACTGCTCTAAAATCCCATTCCTAATACCATCACTTTGGGAGTTGGGATTTCAACATCAGAATTTGGGGGGCACAGCATTTAGATCATAGTGTTGAAACATGTTGATGTTCAAGTGAAAGTTTAATGAATGAGTCTTTGTTAGCAGGAAGGACATGCTCTTTAGGGTCTTTTCATAGTGTTGGTAAATGGTAGTAGTCTCATTACCAACCTGCCTAAAATAACAAAGAACCAGTTTCAGATGACTCATGCAAGCAAGGAAGTTCCTAGCAACTGTGTCTCTTACAACTTTGAAGTTTGTTGATTTAGTATGTGTTGCTTTATTTGTCTTTTCTATTATTCATTAAGAATAGAAACTGGGACTGGAAAGTTGGCTCAGTGGTAGAGTGCTTGCCTTGCATGCATGAGGTCCTGGGTTCAATTCCTCAGCACCACATAAGCAAAAAGAAAAAAGCTGAAAGTGGTGCTGTGGCTCAAGTGGTAGAGCGCTAGCCTTGAGCTGAAGAGCTGAGGGACAGTGCTCAGGCCCAGAGTTCATACCCCACTACTGGACACCGCCCCCCCAAAAAAAAGAAAAAATAGAAAAGAAAAGAATAGCAACTATCCTCTCTGTTTTTAGTGAAACACATGGTCATTTCATTTAATATTGATTTATCTAGTAGTTAATTTCACATAGTTCATTACTGGTGTCTTGAAGTGGTCCATTAACAGTTCTATTAAAAAATAAAAATGAAAAAAAAGAGGTGGCATTGTGGCTCAAAGTGGTAGAGCACTAAACTTGAGCAATAAAGCTCAGGGACTGCACCCAGGCCCTGAGTTCAAGCCCCACAGAAAACAAAACAAAACAAAACCAAACCAAAAAAAAAACCTTAAGAAATGAAAAAAAATTCCAAGAACTAATGTTTGTTGAATAAGTTAATTACTATAAATTCTTTTAAAATGGCAGCAGTCAACTCACATTTGTGAACTATCATAAAGAAGAGTCTGATAATGCTAAAATTAGAATACCTTCTAAAACTACTGGCTACATTTTGGGCCCACCTGTTTCATTTATTTTTGCCATTTGTTATTCTTAGCTACAGCACATATCCCCCCTGCTTTTTTTTGTTGGTCATGGGGCCTGAACTCTGGGCCTGGGCGCTGTCCCTCAGCTCTTCAGCTCAAGGCGAGCGCTCAACCACTTGAGCCACAGTGCCACTTCTGGCTTTTTCTGCTTATGTGGTGTTGAGGAATCGAACCCAGGGCCTCACACATTCAAGGCAAGCACTCTACCACTAAGCCACCTTCTCAGCCCCATATCCCATTTTTAAAACATTGAGTCTGAGGAATGAGAAATTATGAAGCCTATGTTCCAATGGCCCTAAAATTAGCCCAATGCATTGTGTGGCTTTGAGGAAAGCTTTCTTTTTTTCTGCACCTTTGTCTCCATTTTCCCATCTGTAAACTATCAACATTGGTGCATGAACTCATTTATTCAATTATCCACAGGGCCTGGACTAGAGGAAGGCAAATGAGACACTCATTTTGGACCAAGATTGAAAGAAGTACCACAAAACTCTGTCATGAATAACAAAAGGACACTTTCATGCAATATTTGTTTAAAAAAATCAAAATGAGTGTACAAACTCTGCAATGATCAAAACACACATTTTAACCTTAAAAAAAGGAGCATTATGGATGATTTTTCTCTTTTTT